ATAAACATTTAATGTTAACATGGGCAATCTTGACACAAAAATTATTAGAAACATTTGAATCTTCAGGAAAAGCTGAGATTGCATTTAATCGTTTAAGTCATTATGAACTAGATATTACTCAAGATGCGAGGCAATATTATTTTGAAGTTATGAAAATATGTAAAGAAACTAATCCGTTTATGGATGAAGCTAGTAAGCTACAATATTTGAAAGATGGTTTAAAATCTTAGTTACGTTTCGGTGTATTATTAAAAAATCCAATAAATACGGAAGAATTTTTACAATATGCTCAAAAGATTGAAGAACTTAAAACATTAGATGAACAACAAGATATTATTGTTATAGCAGTAAACAAATCATTTTTCAGCTTCATCACCAGTTAATCCAACGCTTGAAAGCAATATTTCACAAAATATGAATCGATCATCTCAGAATTCATCACCAAATGATAATGATACACAATATAATATTAACTACCAAAGTAACAACTCGTTTCAACAACCTACAGCGCCCAGGTGATCCAATCCTACCTGTAGATCCTACCGGAAACTATCGGATCCGTTGTCGGATCACACCGGAATTCGTCGGGTTCCCAACTAAATTCGATCGGAACTTAACCGTATTTCACAGGATTCCTAACTAGCGGATTCCGGACCGGATTACGTCGGAAAGGATCCGATCGGTTCCTGTCGCAACTGTTTGTCAGACAATGCCGTAACCACCAGGATCCTTTCACAGAGAAACGTCTGATAAAGTAAGGCTCCGACAGAATACAGTCGGATTTCATCAGAAGTTGACTGAATCTGTTTCGATTGCACAAGGATTCAATCAACATTTCACACAGATTTCATTCTAGCATTCTCAAAATTTTCAAAGATTTGCTAGAGATTTCTGACAATTTCATCCAATTTTCCTCAAGATTTCTAAAGATTTCTCCAGGATTTCATCCAGATTTCTGAAGATTTCCCTAGGATTTCATCAAGATTTTAAAGATTTTCGAAGGATTTCATCCAGATTTCTAAAAGTTTCTCCAGGATTTCATCCAGATTTCTGAAGGTTTCCCAAGGGTTTCATCAAGATTTTAAAGATTTTCGAAGGATTTCATCAAGATTTATAAAGATTTTCCAAAAATTGAATCGACATTTTCAACAGATTTCACCAGGATGTTATCAAAATTTCTAAAGATTGCATCAGGATATCATCAAGAGTCTAAAGGACTTCAACTGTTTCAACTGGGATTATTTCTGGAATCCAACAATGTATATACTACGATCGTTCTTAAAATTGCACAATGCTTGTACTAAGATCCTTCCTAATATATAGAACTTAGTCATACAAAATGGCAGAATTCCCTTGATATATGAAAGTAGAGAGTTTCTTATATAGATCGATACCTGTCAAACAAAACGGTGAATGAAATCTGGACCAAATAGGATCGCCAGACATAGCTGCGCGAATACAAGTACAATTTGTACTCTGGAAAGATGATGACCCCCAAAACCTAGAATTTGCAGAATTTGTACTCTCATGTACTCGGAGTACATGACAGTACATGAGAGTACATGAGAGTACAAATTCTGCAAATTCTAGGTTTTTTCGGAGTACATGACAGTACATGAGAGTACATGGGAGTACAAAGTCTGCAAATTCTAGGTTTTTCCAGAGTACATGACGGTACATGAGAGTACATGACAGTACATGGGAGACAAATTCTGCAAATTCTGGGTTTTTTCGGAGTACATGACGGTACATGAGAGTACATGACAGTACATGGGAGACAAATTCTGCAAATTCTAGGTTT